TTTTCTGTTTTTTGGTTCTTGACTTTCTTGGAAAGGGAGAGGTGCAAGAGAACCAGAATTCATTTAAGTTCACACATTGGGACTGAGATTTCTCCTAAGTCTCTTTTGATCTACAGTGCTCCTCTTTCCATTTCTTTTTAAATTGTTTTCTTGTGATTCATTTATTGAGAAGTCAAATTTATATTATGGAGTTTCTCATTGTCTTGATTGTACTTTCCTTGGTTTAATTTTACATGTTACTCTGCCTCGTGTATTTTCTTTTTTTTTTTTTTTTTTTTTTTTTAAATTTTTTATTGGATTATAGGTTTTGGGGTACATGAGCAGAGCATGCAAGACCGTTGCGTAGGTACACACATGGCAGTGTGCTTTGCTTTTCTTCTCCCCTTCACCCACATTTGGCATTTCTCCCCAGGCTATCCCTCCCCACCTCCCCCTCCCACTGGCCCTCCCCTTTTCCCCCCAATAGACCCCAGTGTTTAGTACTCCCCTTTCTGTGTCCATGTGTTCTCATTTTTCATCACCCACCTATGAGTGAGAATATGCGGTGTTTCATTTTCTGTTCTTGTGTCAGTTTGCTGAGGATGATGTTTTCCAGATTCATCCATGTCCCTACAAACGACATATTTTGACGCTTAATCAAATAACGTTTTTTGTTTTTTTTTTCTTTGTTTGGTTTTCTCAAAACTATTTCAAGATGATACAAGAGTCTGCTTGGGCTACCATTACAAAACACCCTAGACTAAATAGCTTAAGCAATAGGAATGTGTTTCTCACAGTTCTGGATGCTGAGGTCTGAGATCAAGGTGCTTTCATGGTTGGTTTTTGGCTTTTGTCGCTGCTTTCTTGTGTATATGGCCTTTTTTCTGTGTGCCCTTGGAGAGAAGGGGAGGAAAGACAGAGAAGAAAAGAGAGAGAGAAAGAGAGACACCAGTCCCATCATATTAAAAGCCCACCCATAAAAATTCATATAGTCTGATTACCTTCTTAGAAGGGTCTATTTGCTGTAATACTCACATTGGGAGTAATGGCTTTAACATAAAATTGTTGAGGGTGAGGAGCACAACTCAGGCAATAGCAGATGATGTTGAATTAATTCTTCTATTGAGAAGTATATTGCTGGCTTTATCTCTTTTGTGTGATACTAGCAGCATTTAGTGCTCATTGCCATGATCCATTCATTTATGCAGGGTTGTAAAATGATGGCACTCTGACATTATTAATCTTCTTAAAATATTTGTTGAAATCATTTCTTAATGAGGCTTGTTATCAATTGTTTGTTTACCCCATGTTAAGGTCATATGGAAAAAGCATGATATGTTTTCTTATTTTCTAATTTTCAAAATATTTCTCTAGTATCCTGTGAAAGTGATCAATATATTATTTTACAACACTATCACCAACTTAGGAATTTAAACATATTTGATCTGTTTCAAATTATTACTGATAGTATCTATTGATGCTCACATTGCCTTATCTTTAGCTCAAAAAAACACTTTTTGGCCCTTGAAAACTTTCACATCAGTTTAGTAGTTTGGATATTATTTCTTGCCACTAGGTGTGAGGAGGTGTTTCGAGCTATTTGTTGATTTTCTGCCCTGGACCTGAAATCAGCTATCTCTCTCAGAAATTTTAACTGCTTTTATTGGTAAATGATATTTCAAAGCCATTGTCTGAACATTAGAAATATTCATTGCTTCTAAGTTGGCCATTATTTTTAGTTATTTGTTTCAGCATTCAGAGCTATGTTGCATGAATTTTGTTTCTTAAGATAAACCACAACCTGAGTTTAAACTTTCACTGCCAATTCAAAATAAAAACTTTAGTTCTTCTATTTTACCTCTTTAATTTTTTATTTCTATCTCTTTATCAACACCTGTCAAGAATCCAGCTTTCAATACTGAAAAAAGTGGAATTAGAATGCCACATAATTTATGTACTTATTTATTATAAAACAGTCCTATAACTATCCTGGAATCACAACACTGCTACCAATATGATTGCTGTAAATAGCTTAACTTTTTGTATTTCATAATTTCTGTGGTACTTCAGCTCTATTATATGGTGGAGGTGATGTCAGTACTACCTTTAAAATTCATCTGGGATAGTTCTTTTTGTTCATGCTTATGCCGACAACTGAATGCACATTTAGATTGAATTATTCTATTTTATTTTTAGAACAGTTTTTGAATTTAATTAGTTTTATAATATATAACATTTATGTAGCTCTGAAATTTAAAAATTGTGATATAGTTAATGAAATTTAGCTTCAATGCCTATCCCCTTCACTTATTCCCTCACTTCCTCATAAGTAACCATTTTTGTGTTATTGTCCATCTTTTACTTTTTAATGTGTATATGTATTCCTTTGTAAATATGCATGTGTATTATTATTCTTAAAAGTTGGTATACTATCGCCTTTCTTTCCAAATTACTTAATATATCTGAAAATAACTACATAGTAATAGGCAAATCATTACATTTGAATTATCATGTGCTTTAATATGTATCACCATTTATTTAGCCAGACCACTGTTGATGTATATTTAGTGGTCATTTATCTTCCATTACTATAATGGGAAAATGTCCAGTTGTGAGGATGTATGGTCAAAAAGTAAACATTAATATCACTTTGATATCTTCTGCCATACTCTCTTTAATAAATTTTACAACACTCTTATTAACGCCACCTGTGTCCAAAGTGTCTATATTCCTGCAGGGTCGCCAACAGAGTACAGTGTCAAACTGGGACAATTCCTAATCTAAGTGACAAATTAAATCTTAATGTAGTATTAATTTGTAGTTTTCTTCTTATCTATAGAGATAAGCATCTTTGTTTATGATCAAGAGTTATTTGCTTTTCTGTTTCTGTTAAAGGTTTTTTTCCTCGAGACCCAAACATTTGTTTTTTTGTTTTGAGATGGAGTCTGGCTCTGTCACCCAGGTTGGAGTGCAGTGGCACAATCTCAGCTCAGTGCAATCTCTGCCTCCCAGGTTCAAGTGATTCTCCTGTCTCAGCCTCCTGAGTAGCTGGGACTACAGGCACGCACCATCACGCCCTAATTTTGGTATTTTTTGGTTCAGACGGGGTTTTACCATGTTGATGAGGCTGGTCTTGAAGTCCTGACCTCAGGTGATCGCCTGCCTTGGCCTCCCAAAATACTAGGATTACAGATGTGACTAACCAAGCAGGCCAGCCCCAAATGTTTTAGATCCCTCACTGGCCCTATTTTTAGCTAATTTATAAATCTACATATACTAGGGATATGAACATTTTGTCTCGACGTAAATTTCAAATACTTTCCCAGTTTGTCACTCGTGGTTTTTTTTTATTGTGTCTCACCAAGCAATTGTGCAGTGTAGTTACGCTTATCTCTCTTTTTCTTCATGACTTCTTGACTTTGAGGCAGTTAGGAAAGGTTTTCCCACTCTCACATTCAGAGTAAAATTTATCCATGTTTTCATCTATGACTAATTCTTACATTGTTTTTTTATTTGTCATGAATATCCTCTTTATTTGGGGTTTACTCATGTATCTTCTAAGAAGAATGTATAAAACTTTAATATTTTCTGTATGACTCTCCTATTAGGAGAGAGAACTCTTTTAATCGTATATTACATTTCATCTGTAGTTTTGACTATTTGTGAATTTTACAGCCTGTTAATGGTATAAAATATGTTTCTGTTTTTTTCCCCTTATTTAATGCCCAGTAGAATTCCCCTTCTTGTTCAGAGTTGAGGCTAAGAAGTAGTAGCAATAAGCCCATTTTTGGATGTGTTTTAACATCTGGCAGCTTGGATGTTTAATAAAATCTCTGTTTTAGGTTCTCTCTTTAACTTAGATAAGTCATTTAATCTCTCAAGTTTCCCAAGTCATCATCTGTGACATGTAATGGTTACAGAGTTTTTGATGATTAGTTATATAAAGGATTCAGTACAAAGTAGGTTTTCATAATTGGAAGCTCTTATTTTACTCTTATGATTATTAATTTTACAAATGTATATACTATACAGTTTTCTGATTTGACTTCTTTCTTCCCTTTGAGAAAAGAATGTTGTAGTACACAAAGGAAGATGATACAATTAGAAGAAATGTCTTCATGAAGAAATGTATTTGGATTATTAAAATACATTAAGAAATACCATCTTGTCTGGGCAAGTTGGCTTACATCTGTAATTCTAGCACTTTCGGAGGCTGAGGTGGGCGTATCACTAGAGGTCTGGAGTTCAAGACCAGCCTGGCCAAAATAACAAATCTCGTCTCTATTAAAAATAAGAAAATTAGCCAGGCATGGTGGCACATGGCTATAATCCCAGCTACTCAGGAGGCTGAGGCAGGAGAATCACTTGAATGGGGCGGGCATAGGTTGCAGTGAGCTGAGGTCATGCCACTGTACTCCAGCCTGGGTGACACAGCGAGGCTCCATCTCAAAAATAAATGAATAAATAAATAAATAAATAAATACCCTGTCTAGACATTTAGAGTATCATTAGAACCTATGTTTCATTCACTATGGTTAATATACTTAGCTTGATATTAATCTTAAGAGATAAAATATGGAACAAAATATGTTCATATTAATTTCCAAGCATGTCACTATTTGATACAAATCACTAATAATTTATTACAATATATGTTGAAAGGCCATACTGCTGTAATTAAGATTTATGCACCCTTAAAATAATTTTTCATAAGCTACAATTTATGATCCCTCCACTTAATATCTATTTTCATGTGATAAAGTTTCAAATTACTTAAAATGCTTTTTTAATAAAAATTTTCAAAAATCATCCAAAAATTTTCCATTTTCTTACTCATATGCTAATTGCTAATAACTATATGCTACATTTGTGTCTGCTTTCCCTGGACTGCATAATTTTGAAACTTAATTTACTAATGAAATTGTAACTTTGTTCCTCAGTTAATGAAGGGAAATAGATAAAGCAGATACACATATTACTTATTGTTCTCAATTATGTGCTGAAATCTCAATGTCTTCCAGGGACTCCTGAGGATTACCCAAGATTTTTCCATATGCATCCTAGGACAGCAGAACTTAGTCTCCTGGAGCCAGTAAACAGAGACTTTCACCAGAAATTTGATTTGGTTATTAAGGTAAATTAAGCTAATATCTTATTTCCTTGTGTTTATGAACTACTAATCAGATAAATCTGTAGAGGCTGCTGTAGGCAGTTTTATGTTATAAAAGTTAAAATTAATGTGGACAGGAGTCAAATAATTTTTTGTTAAAAAAAAGAACAAGTGAAGTCCAATTTTAATATGTGGCATTGCTTTTCCCTAAAATAACTGTTTATAGTACTATGGGTTAAATACTAAATATTCTTATATGTAACAAATGCCTTTGTTAATATATGCAGTTCTACCCAATTCATTATGTCTTCTGACATGTATTTTTCTACTAAAAAAAATAGCATTTTACCACAAAAACATGACCAGTTAATATGTCTAAAATGTGCTTGTTATTTTGATCTTGTTTTATTTTTGTTAATTTTATTTTAATGTATTTTTAATGCTGATTTTTTCAACATAAAAATAAAAGGTCTTGCCTATCCAAAGATCCTTTCAATATACATCTCATTATTTTCTGTGCATTGAAATATGATCTTAGACCTGAAATAATTTTGAAGCTAAGTTAATCTTTTTTGGCATTTCATTTTTAGTTTAATAATATCTATGTATTTTAATAAAATAATTAAGTAGATACTGCAGAAATGCAGATGATCCTCTAATTAATTTCTATGGACTTCAGTGAGAAGTTGAGATTTAATTTTAGCAATGAAAGAAAAACAGGAATTTGCCAGGCAGACATGAGGGGAAAAGGCATTGTAAGTAAAAGAAAAGACAAAAGCAAAATTCAGCACAAGTTTTGTGTATAATGCATAACTTTATCATATTTAAATGCAAAAGAAGGTACTAGAAACGCATCACAATGGTATTTTACTTACCTTTTGAAAAATGTAAACATATTAAAGGAAATTGAAGTAAGGTAAGGAAGCTTACTGAGAATGAACATTGCTTAAGCTGGTTTATGTACATTTTCATTGAATTGTCACCACAATTTTACTGATATTCTTATTTGTATAAAATACAGAAACTAAAGTTCAGATAAGGTAAGTGGTTACCTTAGAGTTCCATTACTAATAAGGGGCAGAGTTGAGATTCAAATATTAGTTCTATGTACGCTAAAGCCATGCTCTTTTCACTTTACAAATATACAGATGCTGGAATTGGTTGCCTGTTTTAACTATATGTAAATCCAACTGCAAACAATATTATGTATACATGCCTTTAATTTTAGCTCAAATTAAAAGAGATGTCCTTAGTACAGAATGTGTACTTATTCAGTTATCCTTGTCCTTGAAAAAACTTACAGACTAGAAAGGGCAACAGTCATATAAACAAATACATCAGACATGATACGTGAAATGCTAAGAGGAAGACAGGTAAAAGTGGTAATGACACACAGAATAGGGACATTTAAATTAATCTGGAGACTCAGGGAAGGTTTTCTGGAGATCATCCCAACTTAAATGTTGCTGGATTGAAAGAGTATGGCCAATGACTTAAAGTGGGAAATATGTTTGAACATAAGGAGGTGCAGAAGTAAAAGCCTGGAGGCGTAACGCACAGGCTGCAAGCAGTTAACAGGGAAATGAAAGTATAGAGCCAGACCATGGAGAGCCTGATGAATGACTGCAGTTTCCTGGGATTTCATTCAGTAAGGGTTTGGAAGTTATTCAACAAGAGGAAAAACCACCACTTTAACCAATTATATTAAATGGCCATGTCTAAGATTCATCTTCTTACATTGACTGTTTTATGTTAATTATTATGGGAGTATATAAAATTCCAAAATGTGTGTTGATTTTCTATTGTGCATCTACCTGGAGTCTGTGGTGCTGCTTTCTATGGAAATTAAGAGATTTGACAAAACACTTCTTCCAGACTGCCACATATGAAACAAAAAGTCAATTATTTTCCTTTATTATCAAATTCAGCTGTCCTGCTGTACCTGGGTACAGTGTAATGCAGTCCATCAATTATAGGAAAAAATCAATTAGAACTGGCCACTGATTTTTTTTGTTTTAATAACACTTTTTTTAATTAATGGAAGTTTTAACTGACATTAGATTCAAATTACTATGTTTTGTATGCAGTCAAGGGCATAATAAGTAAAGGTATCAATCTGTAATAATGTGTCACCTGCTTGAATAATAAGTGAATATTGTGATATTGTACAGGGAACCATTGAAATGCTGCAATCTGGCAGTTCTCTTACATAGTAAGTCTTTCAACTTCTCTCTCACTTTTATTTTACTTTAATAATACTTCATTTTTTCATTGTCCCTAAAAGTTTTTGTTGGACAGATCCCAATTTATGTTTTGGAATCTCGGAAAAAATAAAATGAAGAATCTTACATTTTGAAGATGAATTCTGCTTTTAAAAAGCTATGTGTGTATTTAGCAGCTGGTGTGTGCCATGAATTAGAGATTTATCATGTTCATTTTTTTCCCTCTATTTCTCCCAGTGATTTAGTCAACATGCCGACAGATAAAAATGCAAAGGTGAAACTTGGAAGACGAAGTGGAATAGTTCACAAACTTTAGAATACGAAATGATTAAAATATATACCTTTGAAAAAGATTTTTACATTCCAAAACACTATCCTAAATTGTATGTAATTGTAATCCTTTAAGCATACTTTAAAATGTGATATACACTGTGAACAAGAGTCATAGATTTGGTTCTGTCCCGGGTAAACCAAAACATAAACAACAGTTTGTGTCTGTTGTGTTTGTGTAATTATTTATAATACCTCTCTTACTCTTTTAAATGTCCCGGTTTGGATAAGTTATTTGTTCACTACACTCATAAAGCAAAAGCCATCTATGATGTAGAAATATGAGAGCACATTTCAGACGTTGGTAAGAGTGAATTAATTCATGTGTGGACCATGTATTACAAAGTCCATAAAATTCACTTTCATTATTATAAGTGAAGTATTTTTTAAAGTGTTATTAGTAGATATAGTTCAGGCATCTAACAAAAAGCTACTAGTCATTAATTATTAAGACCAATTAAATGGCTAAATAATGAATAATTCACTATCTCTCAGTTCTTCAAAGAACAATTGAAATTTTTAATCTAAATCCCCTTAATTAACAACGAAGAGCAAAGATCATAATGAAATTAGAAACATCATTATTTCATGTTTCCTCTGATTTTCATGTTGTTACTCGCTGACCTACTTATTCTGTCTAGCATGCTGCCTTTTAAATTCTTTTCCTTTCTACTCATGAGCTCATTAACCTGAGCTCTCACCAGATACCTTGCACACCCTCCATTCCAAAAGCACTAAACTGCTTCCAGTCCTCTAAACTGACCATGCTCTTTCTGATATCAAGGCATTTAGGGATACTGTCCCTCTTCCTGAATCATTCTTCCCTCATCTTGTCAACAGTCTAATTCAAACTGTTGATTCAGGGTATTTTTCCTTTTTTATTTTTGAATCATACTTTAAGTTCTGTGGTACATGTGGAGAACGTGCTGGTTTGTTACATAGGTATGCACATGCCATGGTGGTTTGCTTCACCCATCAACCTGTTATCCACACTAGATATTTCTCCTAATGTCCTAATGCTATCCCTCCCCTAGCTCACAACCCTGCAACAAGTCCCAGTGTGTGATGTTCCCCTCCCTGTGTCCATGTGTTCTCATTGTTTAACTCCCACTTATTAATGAGAACATGTGGTGTTTGGATTTCTGTTCTTGTGTTAGTTTTCTGAGAATGATGGTTTCCATGTCCCTGAAAAGGACAGGAATTATCCCTTCTTTATGGCTGCATAGTATTCCATGGTATATATGTGCCACATTTTCTTTATTCATCTATAAATGATGGACATTTGGGTTGGTTCCATGTCTTTGCCATTGTGAACAGTGCTGCACTAAACATACATGTGCATGTGTCTTTATTGTAGAATAATTTATAATCCTTTGAGTATATACGTAGTAATAGGATTGCTGGGTCAAATGGTATTTCTTGTTCTAGATCCTTGAGAAATTGCTTTACTGTCCTCTACAATGGCTGAACTGATTTACACTTCCACCAACAGTATAAAGCATTCATATTTCTCCACATCCTCTCCAGCATCTGTTGTTTCCTGACTTTTTAATGATCATCCCTCTAACTGGTGTGAGATGGTATCTCACTGTGGTTTTGCTTTTCATTTCTCTAATGATCAATGATTATAAGCATTTTTTCATATGTTTATTGGCTGCATAAATGTTTTCCTTTGAGAAGTGTCTGTTCATATCCTTCACCCACTTTTTGATGGTATTGTCTTTTTCTTGTAAATTTAAGCTCTTTGTAGATTCTGCATGTTAGCTCCTTGTCAGATGGATAGACTGCAGAATTTGTTTCCCATTCTGTAGGTTGCCTGTTCACTCTGATGATAGTTTCTTTTGCTGTGCAGAAGCGCGTTAGCTGAATTAGATCCCATTTGTCAATTTTGGCTTTTGGTCAATTTTGGTCATGAAGTCTTTGCCCACAACTATGTCCTGAATGGTATTGCCTAAGTTTTTCTTCTAGGGTTTTTATGGTTTTAGGTCATGTATTTAAGTCTTTAATCCATCTTGAGTTAATTTTTGTATAAGGTGTAAGGAAGGGGTCCAGTTTTAGTTTTCTGCATATAGCTAGCCAGTTTTCCCAGCATCATTTATTAAATAGAGAATCCTTTCCCCATTGCTTTTTTGGTCAGGTTTGTCAAAGATCAGTTGGTTCTAGATGTGTGGTGTTATTTCTTAGGCCTCTGTTCTGTTCCGTTGGTCTATATATCTGCTTTGGTACCAGTGCCATGCTCTTTTTGTTACTGTAGCCTTGTAGTATAGTTTGAAGTCAGGTAGCATGATGCTTCCAGCTTTGTTCTGTTTGCTTAGGATTGTCTTGGCTATATAGGCTCTTTTTTTGGTTCCATATGAAATTAAAAATAGTTTTTCTCCTAATTCTGTGAAGAAAATCAAAGGTAGTTTGATGGGATAGCATTGAATCTATAAATTACTTTGGGCAGTATGACCATTTTTAGGATACTGATTC